TCCCTCCCCGTTTCAATGGCAGCCGAAGCAGCAGCAAAGCAGAGGCTGACACTCCAGCAGGTTGCAAGGTGGAGGGGGGGAGAGAAAAAGGAGGGCCAAGTTAGCTGACGCTATGCTTTGCAAGCGGGAAAGGAATACGGCCAAATCACTGGAAAAAGATAAGACATCTGGAGCATCTTTAAATGCTCTGATACATTCTTCTTCACCCAAATGCAACTTGCTTTGAAGGAAGGAAGGAAGGAAGGAGAGATGAAATGAGCCGAAGGGAGGTGAAATGAGAGGAAGGAAGGAAGGTAAAAATGAGAGATAAAGGAAGGAGAGGAAGGGAAGGAGATGAAATGAGAGGAAGGAAGGAAGTAAAAATGAGAGAGGAAGGAGAATGAAAGAGGAAAGGAGGCAGGGAGGGAAAGGTGAAGGGAGGAAAGGAAGGAAGGAGAGATGAAATGAGCCGAAGGGAGGTGAAATGAGAGGAAGGAAGGAAGGTAAAAATGAGAGATAAAGGAAGGAGAGGAAGGGAAGGAGATGAAATGAGAGGAAGGAAGGAAGTAAAAATGAGAGAGGAAGGAGAATGAAAGAGGAAAGGAGGCAGGGAGGGAAAGGTGAAGGGAGGAAAGGAAGGAAGGAGAGATGAAATGAGAGGAAGGAAAGAGAAGGTAAAATGAGAGATGAAGGAAAATGTGAAAGGAACAAAGGGAGGGAAAGAGGAAGGGAAGCAGATGAAATGAGAGGAAGGAGAAGCTAAAAATGAGAGATAGATGAAGGAGAGTGTGAAAGGAAGGGAGGGAGGGAAAGGGAAGGAGATGAAAGGAAGGAAGGAAGTAAAAATGAGAGAGGAAGGAGAATGAAAGAGGAAAGGAGGCAGGGAGGGAAAGGTGAAGGGAGGAAAGGAAGGAAGGAGAGATGAAATGAGAGGAAGGAAAGAGAAGGTAAAATGAGAGATGAAGGAAAATGTGAAAGGAACAAAGGGAGGGAAAGAGGAAGGGAAGCAGATGAAATGAGAGGAAGGAGAAGCTAAAAATGAGAGATAGATGAAGGAGAGTGTGAAAGGAAGGGAGGGAGGGAAAGGGAAGGAGATGAAAGGAAGGAAGGAAGTAAAAATGAGAGAGGAAGGAGAATGAAAGAGGAAGGGAAGGAAAGATGAAGGGAAGGAAGGAAGGAAGGAAGGAAGGAAGGAGAGATGAAATGAGACGAAGGAATGAAATCAGAAGAAGGAAAGAGAAGGTAAAATGGGAGATGAAGGAAAATGTGAAAGGAACAAAGGGAGGGAAAGAGGACAGGAAGGAAATTTCTCTTCTGGACCAGCGTTTCTCAATCTCAGCAGCTTAAAAAATGGGTGGACTTCAACTCCCAGAATTCCCCAGCCAGCATGCTTTCACATGCATGGGTTTCCACTCCCATGGAGACTCCATGGAAGGTTTCCCCCCACCCCATTCCCCCCAACAAAACTTCTGGCTTTGAAACTCCAGCCACGGGTTGCCTCTAAGGGGGAAAAAGATGCAGAGCGCCAGAAAAGCCCTGGATTCCCCCTCCCTCTCTTTCTTCCTCGCCCCCCCTGCTGTTTGCTGGTAACAAAATGCATTTATTTATTTATTTGTCAACAAAGTACAAGGGAACAAGTATGAAAGCACATGGGAAAAAAATGGCACAAATGAATGGATATTAATAAGCAAAACACAGCCATAAGCACAGGAAAAAAGTAGATGTAAATGGGACAGTAGGACAGGGGGAAGAGGAGAAGGGAGGAGACCCCAGGCCCTACAGAGAGGCGACCCACCTCCCCAACGCGATCCTCGCAAACCTGAAAGGAACCAATGCAAAGCGTCTCAGGTGCAGCTGAAAAACACGTGCAGGGGCAACGGAACGTAGGAGACGGAGCGGCGTTTCCGGGGGGGGGGATGGTTGTGGCTGTCGGACTCGGTGTAACCCGCAAAAGTGTCCCCCATATCCCGGAAGTGGCCGGAGAAACCATGAGCCGGTGAGTGACGCCGAATGCAACCAGAGGTCTCCCCACCACCCAATTCCCGCCTCCGGTGCTCGGGGCTGGAGAGAGGGGGGGGGTGTCTCATGAATTAGTCTTGCCAAGATCCCCTCCCCACCCCTTTTCCTTGGATGGGTTGAGAGGCCTTTTCATCATGGCTGTTTAATTGCAGCTCTTCCTCTTGGCCTGCTCAGCAGGTCATTTCCGCATCATAGAGCGTCACTCTGGGGATTGTGGGAGTTGGAAGCACGCTGGCTGGGGAATTCTGGGAGTTGAAGTGCACCTGTTTTAAAGTTGCTGAGATTGAAAAATGTTGGTCCAGAAGATAGCAACAATTTCCTTTCCCTTTCTTCCTTCCTTCCTTCCTTCCTTCCTTCCTTCCTTCCTTCCTTC